TGTGGTAAGTATGTACTTACTTATGTACTTAAGCACTTACTGGAACTAAGTACATAACTACTAATGTTCTTAAGCACTTACTGGGACTAAGTACATAACTACTAATGTTATATAATACAATTCTGGGTCCTTGTACTAGCATTTATCACAGCTCCCTGCTAGTGGTGAAAGATTGTAAACTGGACGGCTAGATTCTTGGGTAGTAGGGCATCGACTGCGCCCACGATGGTTTTCGACCAGAGCGCTAACAGACTAAATTACGGTGATTAAGAAGCTGTTAAGGAATCTGAATATACCAACCTTGGTAAGGCGTACCCGTGGATCAGCAAAAATTGGCCGAATCAGGGACGCTCCAATACATGCCCGTCCAGCAATTCCTGCACAAAAGACACAATTATGTCACCGCAAAATAACACAATATCAACACCTTTTTACTACATATGTTAATGACAAACTGAAAATTCTGTGTGCAGCTGTAACCTCGCTCCGGTTGTGCCACAGTGTTTGTCACCTCCATGGTTCCCCCTTCGGTCATAGACTTGATGCAGCAAAACCACAGCTACTTCGGTCCCTAGAATAGTATTATCAATCAATATATTAAATGCTCCAGCGGACTATTATGACAAGCACATACAAGTAAAATGATCAAAGAAATCCGTGGGGGAGATGAGGACTCGACAGTGCGTTATTCTCAACTGCTTGAACCTGTCGTGGATCGTCTAGACTTATACTCACGACTTTATAGGTAGATTCCTCGGCGTCTACTTGTGTTGATATGCAAAGTGCGTTCAAGAGCTTGTTTGAAATAGAAGATTCGATTGAGTTACTGCAGAGTTTACGGTCTACTCTTGCCAAAGCTGATCGTGAGGATCTGGAAGACCTATTGGACATGGCGGATTCACTTCGAAAAACCAAACAGATGCCAGCATTCGCGGAAGGAATGCACGAATGGATATGCATCGACCTGGAGAAATTTCTTCTCCGTAATTCCTGTGGTTTTTCTATAGGTTTTGATGACAATACCGTTAGGTACACCATCAACCACATCTGCTTGCGAGGGAGACAGTTTACCCTGACTCCATATTTTCATCACGCCCAGCCCATCATGAGTGAGAAAACTCGGCACAAGGTACGATGTAATAACGGGGAACCTGAAATAACATTGCTGAGAAAAGTTATTTCCTGTATGAAAGCGAACAAACCTGCTGCAAATTTGGGTTGCAGTATAGCTGACGGCCAATGCAGCACCAGGGAAGAATATTGCCACAAACAGATTAGGGAGATACCGTAGAGCTATGGGCTATTTGAAACATGTAAAACGAGTCTATTTGAAGTTTTGCCAGTTCATACGGAACTTGACTTATAGACTAAGTAGGTATAGCCTCTAGGACTAGATATGCCTCAAAGCCGATTTCTACATACACGACCACTCAACTCGACTACTGTTCGGTGCATATTACCGTACCGTCACGTTAGTCGGGTCCAGGACTTGAGAACACTTGATTGCACGTCAGTCGAGTCCAGGACTTGAGAACACTTGATCAAAATACAGAAACTCCTCACGAGAGACTCAAAATGATGAAAGCTCGCGAGCCTAATCGGGGGAAATGTGGCTCACAATGATGAGATTGGAAATTTCAACAGTAGCGATTGCTAGTCACGCTGAGAAGCTCCTCTGCGACTGCATTTGATTTGCTCCCGCCACTCTCATCGCTCGCAGGCCAAATCGCGCTCACAAATGTACACAAGCTCAAGCACGGTCAGGGAGGTTCATGCAAAGTAATGTAAGCCATTGTTACATTGATGCCTCATCTGTGAGAAATTGGCCGCAGGGAATGAAATTTCACCATATCACAAGTCCACCGGCAGTCATGCAGCTTCGAGGGTAAGCCTGAAGGTCTTAAAGGCAGCGTCTTCGCCAGGCTGTCAACATCTCAATTTGTTGGCTCGATGATTTGGTAGTGTCGACGCCCTTTGCGCAGTCTAGCTTCAAAACTTGCAACTAACACCGGATGTATGTCTTGTTTCCTCTGCCAAGAACTTTGGCGACTTGGGGATCCCTTCCGTTTTATCAGATACCACACTTGTTTCCCAATCCGGCATTTCGACTCCACAAAATCGGCCTCCCGTTTCTCGTCCCCTTTTGGTGGTGGTTTCTGCTTTGAAAGACTGATAGGCCATGGTTTGCGACACTGGTAATTCCATATACAGCAAATGGCCAGTATCAGGGATGTCATTAGCGTAACACGCCAGTGTACGGAGAAGAAAAGTTGTATGAGCTTCAGCCATTTAATGGCCAGAGAATTAGAGACTGGTAATGTGGCAATATACAGGTTCATCATTTGAAAGCGAATCTCGCACCCAATTCGCGGTGCACAACCTCGGAAGGGGCACACTTATACCTGGACGCGTCCTAGGTAGCCACATTTAGCTATTGATATATATGGACCATTATGAAAGAAAACTTGGAGCAGACGCATATGTATGATGTCGTAGGAGGATTAGAGTGTTCGATGATGGCTACTAAATACTTTCAATAATATCTATATACTCTACGGTAAGCATGTACATATTAATACCATAAGTACTGTACAGTAAGTATTGAAATATAAGACTAGGACATGAGCGGGTTGGGTTGCGCTGGCCAACTGTGCGGTTGCACCTGCACGATACGCCCTGAGAAAGCCAACGCTTCCACTTGTTGCTAGATCGCTAGAGAAAGCATAGATGGCAATAGTCGGGGTCTAGGAATTACTTTCCGAAATGAGAAGAGTTGAGACGATGAACAACGCGCCGCAGCGTCCAATCGCCCTTACGTACAGCAAAATGACCACCGCGTAACTGTGTTATCGTTAAGAGCATAACTTTCAGTGTGTATACATACATAATTATGTCGTGTGTAAATATACATGGGAATTGCTACACGGGCATGACACTTTGGCTACACGGGCATGACTCTTACACGGGCATGACTTTTATCACTAATCTCGAACTGAATGACCACGATAATTTTATTACCCTTCCATTTGAAGTCTTGTAATGCAATAAGGATTGCAAGCCGAGCTTGTTATTTTCTCTTTTGTTGCTGAATCTGATGGTGAACCAAAACTTTACTATCTTTGCAAGATTCTGAGAAGTGGTCAAAAGACTTTCGTGCCGTGTTGCGCCTCCTCAGTTAACAATAGGTTTATCATCACAATGGCACTTCGCGGTAGCCGAGATCACGATCGTACCTTGATCTAATTAATTTTTCCAAGACTGCCACTAACGGCACTATTTCAAACCAAAAAAAGAAGCTGACAGATTTTCTTTAGTAATGTAAGGGAACGGCCCCACTT